GCTATATCTAGCTAACTAATAAATATCGCCACATGTCACATTCACATTTTTATGGAGAATAGTTAATATCTGTCCTTAGCAATTTTTACGAAGGTTGTAGTAGATAGTTATTAAGTAGAAGATAAAGTAGTCTTATTGAAATTATTTTTCCTAGCTACCTCAAAAGTTGCACACATTAGCCTGACTCTTCTTACCTGAGTTCCCAGCCCTTTCTATTTTTGAATTGGTTGAATTTAACTTTTTAGTTTCCATAATTATATAAGATTATAAATTATCTCTCAGTAACTGGCTAATTTTACTTAACAAATTTCCAGACTCATCTATATTGTTACAGATGGCAGTATTTTGTTTTATTTTAAAGGCTGAATAGTATTCCACTGGTAGGACTTATTTAAACATTTATTAGATTAATGCCAACTTCATACAATGGAATATTTTTACATCTTGATTTTCTATTTTATAACATGAGCACAATATGATAAACAATAATTCTAAATATTAAAGGGACCTTTAAAAGTTACTATCATTTTACTTTTATATATACATTTTGAAAGCCTAAGGGAAATGGAATACTATTTTAACAGACGAACCATAATATAAACAAATACTTTAATATAATTAAGAAACATTCAAATGAATATGCTATATTACTATTTTATTTTGATTTTTTAAATTGAAAGTAGATTATTCTTTCATACAATACATCCTGACCACAGTTTCCTCTCCATTGACTCCTCAAAGCTCCTCCCCACCTCCCTTCTTTCCTAGATCCTCTTTTACCTTGTTTCTCTTCAAAACAGAGCCAGCCTTCAAGAGACAACTATTGGGGAAAATTATAAAGGCCACTCCACGTAGTTAAAAGGAAGATTTATTTAGTGGATGACTTACAAATGAAGGAATGGATAGGTTGCGGGGGTCTGGGGAAGGTGTATCGCAATCCAGCGGTGTTCTCTGGAGCTCTGCACAGTCAATCTCCACCATCCAGGGTCCAGGCGCAGAGAGCGCGCCCAGAGAGAGCACTCGCCCATCCAGCTCTCGGGTTTCCAGCACCTCCCCTCGCCC